GAACTCGGTTTGTCTCTCAACAAAGCCCATACCTTTCTGCTACTGTGCCCCTCTTTACAATCTTCTCTGAATATAAACTTGCAATAAAATTTTCACGATGAAAATGGATTTTCTCAGAGTAGTTACTTACCCATGGCCTAAAAAGAACTACAACCTGTGTTGTTTTTCCAATATATTCAAATTATAAGCTCACATAAAACATTTTCCATTCATATACCCCTTCACAGAATCTTCTTTGATATTCTAAAAAGACAGTTTTTTCTGATAGCCAAAGCATGTATAACTATAGGGAAACAGTATTTCAGTTCAGCAAATGGAAAAATCTCCAGTTAAAGAAAAAAAAAAAAAAAGGGCCAGCCCAGTGGCATAGTAGTTAAGTTCACGCACTCCACTTCGATGGCCCGGGGTTCGCAGGTTCGGATCCCAGGCTCGGACCTACACACTGTTCATGAAGCCATGCTGTGACAGCGTCCCATATACAAAATAGAGGAAGGTGGGCACAGATGTTAGCTTAGGGCCAATCTTCCTCAGCAAAAAGAGGAAGATTGGCAACAGATGTTACCTCATGGCCAATCTCCCTCACCAAAAACAAAAGGGGGCAGGGGGCCGGGCCAGTGGCGTACTGGTTAAGTTCACATGCTCCGCTTCAGCGGCCTGGGGTTCACAGGTTCCAATCCTGGGTGCACACCTACGCACCACTTACCAAGCCATGCTGTGGCAGGTGTCCCACACATAAAGTGGAGGAAGATGGGCATTGATGTTAGCCCAGGGACAATCCTCCTCAGCAAAAAGAGGAGGATTGACAACAGATGTTAGCTCAGGGCCAATCTTCCTCACAATAAAAGAAAAAAACAAATTCTCTGAAAAACTGAACCACGGGAACTCACTGTTAGGCCTGATGATAACAATGAGCCAGAACTTTCAAGTTTCATAACTGGTCAACTTGTTCCCTAGCCAAATGAGCAAACATAAAGCCAAGTAAGTAGGGATTAAAGTATCAGATTCAACTATATGAAAGTGTCATCAAATATCAATTCACATGAATCAACCTAATACTTAAAGGGTTATCTAGCCCAGCTTCTATCCAAGCGTGTTGCTTGGAACAAAGATTCCATAGAATGGTTAAAAGGATTTATGAACAAATTCACTGTCGAGTTTGGGAAATAGTGGGTTAAACAAAGTTAAAATCGGTCTCTTTACCTCAGGATCTCTCAGAGCCTTTAATGTGTTAACATGAGTTATGAATCTCCAAAAGAAGGATTCATTATCCTAATGAAGATAATAAAGTACACAGAGATTAAGTCACTTATCCAAGGTCACTAATGGCAAACTCAGAACCAGAATCTAGTTCTCCCGATTCCACTCCAAAATTCATTCTACCTCCCCAAGACACTGTTATATCCGAAAGTAAAGCAAAAACTTTTCCAAGGACTGCTTCTATAAAACTATCAAATGAGAAACACTAGTGTCTGGACCGGCCCCGTGGCTTAGCAGTTAAGTGCGTGCGCTCCGCTGCTGGTGGCCCGGGTTCGATCCTGGGCGCGCACCGACGCATCGCTTCTCCAGCCATGCTGAGGCCACGTCCCACGTACAGGAACTAGAAGGATGTGCAGCTATGACCTACAACTATCTGCTGGGGCTTTGGGGGGAAATAAATAAATAAAATTAAAAAAAAAAAAGAGAGAAACACTAGTGTCTTGTGCTGACAGTATTTACCAACACCCCACCAAAACAAATAACAACAACAACAAAAAGGAAAGTAGCAAAGAATTTTTATAAAACAACAAAAGCCTCCTCAAAGTAAGCTGGGATACAGTATTTACAGATCATACACATATTCCAAAACTTATAATCTTATAAAAATATTTCCTCTAAAAAGCCAGAGATATAATCATTTCTAATCAGTACCTGGATGGAACTAAGAGAATGGTAAGAAGGGCAAACCAGCTTGTGAGGTCCATTAGAGCAGGGATCCTGTCTATTTTCCTCACCACTATATCATCAGAGCCTGATATATTAGTAGGTATTCCATACATATTTGCTAAAAGAATGAACAATAAGTCCCTGCTCTACCATTAATTAGCTGTAGGATCTTGATCAAGTAATAATCTCTAAACCTGAGTTTCCCTACTTGCAAATGAAGCGGTTAGACCAGAACGATCAAGATCTCTTCTACCTTTAAGAATTTGTGAATCTTATACAAATTAGTTTCAAATTTCCAGCATTTGAGAATATGCCCACAGTCAAAAATTATAACAGAAAATAACATCTGCAAAGCACTTTACATTCATTACGTCATTTAATATGCCAAATAAACCGGCAAATTAGTCAGATAGGTATTACCCACATTTTACAGGAAAACAAAATGAGGCCCAGAGAAATTAACTGACAAGACCAGAAACACAAAATTATTGAGTAATGAAGCTTGGACTTTATACCCAAGATTTTAGTTTTGAAATCCCCAAATCTTTCCAATGCAACTTGTCCTCCGATGACAGGGACAGGGAGGCAGCCCAGATGATGACAGCATTATTCCCCAGCTTTCAGCTATTGATTTAACAGGGGTATAGGACAAAACATCTCCCAAATTCTCATCACCCCATCTTCCCAATGTTAAAGCTCCAACTCTTCTGTGAGGAAAAGTCTTTTTTTTTTTTTTTTTGTGAGGAAGATCAGCCCTGAGCTAACATCTGCCAATCCTCCTCTTTTTGCTGAGGAAGACTGGCCCTGGGCTAACATCCGTGCCCATCTTCCTCCACTTTATGTGGGACACCGCCACAGCATGGCCTGACAAGCGGTGCGTCGGTGCGCGCCCGGGATCCCAACCCAGGCCGCCAGCAGCGGAGCGCGCGCACCCAACCGCTAAGCCACGGGCCGGCCCAGTGAGGAAAAATCTTAATGCAACAAATTCATCACCTATTTCTCCTTGGAATCCAAAGTTAACTAATATAATTATTATAACAGAGGATGACATTATCAAGGAGTGAAAAGAATCTAAATTATGAATAAAAATCTTTCACATCAAGATAGTTGAAGTTCAAATAACATGTACACACAGTTAAGTACTGTTAAATTCAAATACCACCTGATACCATTATTACGCTACATTTAAAATGAGAGCTCCACTTTTGGAAACTTTGTTTGCTAGTGTAAATGAGGCAATTTAAACTATTAGCTCTTTTAGGTCTTGTTACATAAAACCACACTTCAACACGTTACTTCAAGTGCAACTTCTCTCAACTCCAGCAATGAAAAAAAACCGACTCTAGGCTCAGACTTGGTGTTAAAATAAATAAATAGCATTTACATCACTCCCTTCCTCTCCAAGAAATACAACTGGGCAACCAGAAACATCCCGGGTTATGGGTTTAGAGTTCTCCAAGATTCTAACCAATCAGCTGACTCTCATATTTCTTAACTCTATTAACCTTCTGTCTTAAAATATATACTTATTCTTATGTCAAATATAATTGTTTCTCACAACTATAGCAAAATTCCCTCTCAACAGGGAGTATACTATAATAAACATATACTTACTTATTAAACCTCTAAGTTCATAACACTGCATTAAATTCTCTGTCAAGACAATTAAATGAGCACTATCTTTCTGGGATTTACATGTGTAAATAGTTCATAATAGGCTTACCGTGAGTCCTAATTATTAAGTAGATATAACATGCAAACGTAATAATTCCGCAGAAGAGTACAGAAAAAAGTTCCTCAAAAAAAAAAAAAGTCAATCTCTCCCATCCAAAATAAATATATACACACAGAAACGGCATGTCTCATTTATTGCACAGGATCATTGGTTACTATTGTGTTCTGCAAACTTCAGTAAGTTTTGGAGGCTTAACAAACGTTTAGCTTGTTAAATTAATAGCTAAAATCTTCATAGACTCAAGGGGTCCCATACCTGAAAAGAACTGACCATGAGGACAAGTGAGAACTGTAACAAAACCAAAGCTACAAGCCACTGCATCCATCAGTACTTAAATTCCTCTGCTGGTAAACACTCAACAGCATCAGACTCATCACCACTTCAACACTGATAAGTTTGAGAGCTGCCGAAATCTTGCAGACCAGTCAAAAACCTTGGTGAACTGTCACAAAATAAAAGTCAGAGCGTATGTGACAGCTTTGCAGGCCAATTCCAAAAACCACCAGACCATCGAATTTATGCGATTCTCGGAGCAAATTATCCAGAATAGCCTGTGTTATTTACCAAAGTGCCAAGCAGTCCCCAGGGGAGCGCAGCAAATGATAACTTAGGTCCCAGGACAGGCTCCTCTTCACACATGGATAACTTTCCTACTTAGTGCCAAGTGTACACTTGCACGCTCCGAAAATAGGGGCAGGTCCTGCACATCAGGGGTAACAAGGGCAACGTTTCTATTTTATTACGGGCTGAGGCTCCCAAGAGTCCCAAGGCTGAAACGCTCGACCTATATAACCTCGGAGTCACTTCCCAACTGTGCCCTCACCCAGGATCATTATATCCCCCACGGAAGCCAATTATTAGTTGTTACACGGCCTGGAAAAATAGGAAGAGGGCTCTCAAAGTTCACATAAGAGACACGGGAAAGGTGGGGGCTTCGAGAGGGAAGGCCAACGTTAAAGCATCTTGGGCTCGAACATGTTAAAAGCCAAAATACATACAAAGACCCTTCTTGCGGACTCCAGGCAGAAGGGGACACGCAGACCCTCAGTCATTCCAAGAGAAAGGGGCTCCAGGGGGTCACCAAGCCAGGCAGCCCGGATCGAGGCTCCGATCTGTCCAGATAAGGTCGGGAAACCTAGGCGGGGGTCTGCATGGTGGCCCGGCGGGGCGCACAGCCCCTTCTCCCGGGCCCCCTTCTCGCTCCTTCCCCACCACCAGGCCTCTCCTCTCTCCTCTTCCCCTTCTCCTCCCTCCGTCCCTCCCCTCCCCCCAGACACACACACCAGGCCACCTCCCCCCCAAATCCCACCAACTTTCCCGTCCCCCTCCCCGTTCTTCCCACCTCTCAGGAGCACACAGAAACTGCAGGCCAGGAGGCTCCTCAGGACGGCCCCCATCTTCCCTTCTCGCGTTCTCTCCTCTCACCGGCGAGGGGCGGCCAGACCAGGGGGAGGCGAGGAGCCGGGGCGGCCGCCGCAGCGGCAGGTCTGCATGCTCATGCTTCCCAGCTTTCCAGAGAGAGAAGAAAGAAAGGGGCACGTCAAGGCTCCGCGCGCGCCGCCGCCGCCGCCCTCTCTAGCGCGCCGCTCTGCCCGGGGCTCGCGCGACGCCAGCGTCTGCTCCCATCCCGCCGCCTCCTCCCCTGGCGCCCCGCTTCCCCCGCGCAGCTCCTCATTCAGCCTCTTCCTCTCACGCAGCGGCGCAGGGATACGGCCGGCCGCCGCCGCCGCCGCCGCCGCCAAAGTCTCCCTGCGCGCGGACGAGCCCCCTCCCTCGGCGCCGCCTCCCGTGCGGTTATGAAAAGAAGTGGGGGCCGCGCGCACGGCCTCTGCTTGGCGACCCCGGGAGATCTGCCGGGCGAGCAGAAGCGAGCTGGAGGCGCAAGACTGCCAGGCGGCGCATTCCAATGGGATTCTTTCCCGAGCCGGCCGCTCCGGCCCTCCCCGCGGAGGGCGTGAAGCGACGTCGAACAACACAGGAGCCGGCGTGGTCGGGACTTCTTTCTGCGGCTCGGCCGGGCCGCCGCCTGCTCTGTTCTTTGTGCGGCCGGCGCCTGCAGAGCCAGGTGCAGCTCTTGGTCCACGCCGGCTGCCACCTGGGCCGGAGGAAGGGGTGGCGGGCCCGGGGCCGCGGAGCTGCAGGTCCACGCTCCCGGAGCCCCGCGGATCCCGACACGGGGTGAAGAGCTCGATCTTCAGGGTTGGAAATTGGTGTAAGCATCTTTTTTCTTTTTTTAAGGAAAATAAAAACTAATGCTGCTTGCACCAGCTTTAAACGTGGATCTAGTGAACGGTGTTCAAACGCCAACTCAAACTGAGATTTGTATTTTCTCCTGGCTTCCCAGAACTACAGAGTGCCCCCAGAATTAAGTCCGACAAGAACTAACGATTTCTAAACCGGTGGATAAAATTCCAAAATAAATGCGTCAACACCTAAGACAGAGCAAAGGGACAATTGATCAGGACTGTATTAGGGATTTTACAAGTTGCTTTGAATGATGACTGTTTGGCATGTTTTGATGATCAGTTCCCAGCTTGAGAAGGAAAGGATTCCCCAGAATGTCAGACTCTGATTTTGCACAGCCTCTGCTATTCTCCGTGCACAGGGCGTTCAGGAGTAACGGCCCAGACGGCCCCTGCAATCACGTGGCAGCTTCAGTCTAGGAGGGCACTCCACCGCCAGTTGACCGTAATGCAGCCATCAGGTGCATTCTGCCCAGCTGTCACACGCCCTTACCTGGGGGCAGATGGGCGAGGAGGTGGAGCTACTCCCGCAATGTTACCAAAATCTCAGAGACATTGGAGTTCACCAAGTGCTTGCACACACGTTATAAGATTTGAACTCAAAACTCCCCTGGAGTAAGGCGGATTTTGTTATTTATCATTCTCACTGCACAGAGAAGGAAAATGAGAACCTGAGGCGTTCAGTGACTTACCCAAGGCCACTCAAGTAGTGAATAGCAGGACTCGAACCCAACCCAGGTCTTCCCATTACGGACACTCTGCTCCTTCCAACAAAGGCACGCTGAACCAAGGGGATGCCTGTGTGTCATCAGACAGAAGGGCAGAAACAGCCAAATCACTTTCCCCTAAATTCACCAGCGAAAGGCTAACCGCCACTGATTTAAATTATCTTCTTCCAAGAATCGCGTCAGGACTCTGCGAGTTTTGTATTCTAGTCTCCTCAAAACAAATAACTGAGAACCAGGTTTTTCAACAATAGCCTAGAGAATGTATTATGGTGAAGCTAGTGAGGCTGCGGAGACACCATGATGTAGCAGGGAAGGCATGAGCTTTGGAATGAGGGTTAGTATCCAGACCCTCCCAGTTACTAGATGTGTCATTCAGACATATTTACATACACTGCACCTCAGTTTTCTCCTCTATATAATGGGGATAATACCTCCTTCAGGCTTGTGGTAGATATTAAATTAAATAATATATATAAACTGCTCAATATATAATAGGTGCTCGATAAATGATCATTCCCTTTCTCAGCTCCTTCAAGGGGAATGGTATCATAGTAACTTGGAATCCTTGGGAAATAATGGGAGAGAGAGGACAATTACATGCTCGAGATGTTTATTCCAGGATTATTTATAATTGGAGGTAGAGAACTGTGAAGCTAATGAAAATTAACCCTCAGGACCCCTCACTTTCACAGTTCTCTTCCGAAGCCCAGGGAGGAGCCCCAACAATGTGTTTACATGGTCCTATTTGCAAAAGTAAGATAATTTTGTGTGCTTTTTCTGAAAACATTCCTCAAAATTATATAAATTTCAAGTCCCACAAAACCTGGATCTGTTCCTATTTATCGTAGAAAACTCATTTACAACTTAGGTCTCTTTAGGCTGTCAACCTAAGTAGGGGAATGAGGTATTATATTCCAACAATGTTGGAAAATGTTTACAATTAGTTAAGCTTAAAAAGATGAACGTGCATGTACATTTTAACTTCAGCTATGTAAAATATGAATGTATATACATGTGTAACATAAACACATATATAATCACATATTTGAGCAAAGACCAAAAGTAAATGTGCTAAAACAGGGATTAAGATGGTGAAATAATATGAGATTTACTTTATTTTTCTGTTCTTAAATTTCCTTTAGTGTATTTTTTACAATTTTTAAGGTACTTAAGTGGAAATCTATAGCTTAAGCTTAAGCCCTAGCGAAGATGCTGTTCTTCCTACCTAATTTGTTTTCGTATTCATTCAAGAGCCTATTAAAAATACTCAGTGCCTGTCACTATGTTAAGTGCTGGGGATGCAGAGATGAGATTAATCATAGTCCCTACCCTCAAGAAACTTACAACCTGTTTTGGAAACGCTAATTATTAAAACAAATAATTAAAATGTTAAAATTGCTATAGTGCAAGTTTGTACCATATCAACAAGAAACTCAAGTGCAGAAGCACTTAAGTCTGCCTGAACAATTTAAAGAAGAGAAAATAACCTTGGAGCTGAGTCTTGAAATATAAATCGGAGTTCATCAGGCCAAGAAGACTGACAAGGAATTCCAAGCAGAAGGATAGCAGGTGCAAAGGCACTGAATTATTAGAGAGCTTGGCATGTTGGGGATTTGAAAGGAGATCCATGTAGCTGAAGCATAGGGTGCTTTTAGACAGTGTCAGGAAATGAGGCAAGACCGTAAGTAGGTATTGGATAATAAAGAGCTTTGTAATTCATGCTAAGAAGTTTAGATTTTAGCCTGTTGATGATGTAGACACTGAAGGATTTTTCTTACGGTGGAGAATTGATTTGCATGTTAAATAATTTCTCTGGTAACAGTGTAGATAATAGAAGGGAGGAAGGCAAAAAGTAGGAAGACCAGTGAGGAAGTTATTTTTAGTATGAAAGCAAGGGTCAGGACAGCAGCACTGGGTGTTGAAAAGAGAGGATGGATTTCAGGACTATGAGATGAAAACAGCAGGTCTTGGTAACCTATCAGTGAATTGAGAGAGAGAGTAGTCTAGGATGAATTTCCAGGTTTCTAAGTTATGCACGGCAGTGAATGAGAGTCTCATTTTCTAAGAAAAGAAATGCATAAGGAGTATTTCAAGATGGGGCGTTGATAAGTTGAACAATGGGTCTTTTATATTGGCAGTGTCTGTAAAATATCCAGCTGGAGATGTCCAGTAGACAGTTTTGATATAGAAGTTTGGACTCAGGAGAGGAAAGGAAAACACAGCTCTCAGTGATGATGGTGGAGCTTGTATACCACCCAATCCGGGGGACATACTGTAGAATATTAAATCGTGATTGAGTAGTTATTACCACAGTTTTGTGGACAATGACAGTCAGACGTCTTCAGGAAGGGAAACTCTTTTCTAATTCAGGTGAATTCACCCTTGAACCACCTCATTGGTGGCTGGAGGGTAGAGATTATAGTTGAAACCATAAACTTACCTAAGGAGAGAATAGAGCGTTTAGCGTGACTAGAAAAGTGAGCCAGGGCAGAACCATGTGATATACAAGTATCTAGGAATAAATAGAAGAAGAGAAGCTACAGAAAGAGACCAAAAGAGGCAAGTGTAAAACTGGTTGAAAGTGTTGCCTTGAGAGAAGGTGTGTCAATAATGGCAAATACAGTAGACAGCAGAGAAGTCTGCTAATAGAAGCACTGAAAAGAGGCCATTGTGACCTATAACTTCCCAAAACGTCATTGATGGGACCATACGTTATGCCAACATTTTAGGAAAGCAATCTAGGAGTAAAATATACACACTTTTTACACTAGAATCCCACTTCTTGGAATTTATCCACAGAAATAAAAGTTTATAGAGATATGCATACATAGATATTTATTATAACATCGTAATAGAAAACAAACAAAACAAAAAGGAAGCCTATAAAAATGGCAGTTTTATATGGTTCGACCTAATCAAAAGAACCTGAATGCATTTCAATTGTTAAATAAATAATGGTATACCCTTATGTGGCATTCTGTACAGCTGTTAAAAAGAATTATATATATTGATCTGGAAGTGTAACCATGATATGTTGTTAATTGATAAGCAAGTTAGAGAATAATATGTACAATGTGATGGAATTTTTGTTTACAAGAAAAGAAGGAATGAAAGGAAGGAGAAAGGGAGATAAGAAAAGGGGGAAATCGTATGTACTTGCATACCTGTCTGTTTTGGATTTCGATGGACAAAGCAAAAAGTGTGAACGGTAAACATGTAATTGAGTGGACACTCAGCGGAGTATACTTACAGGAGGTAGAGGGAGACTTAAATCTACTTCAGAGACTTTATTATTTGAGATGCTATGAGGACCATTATTACTTTTTTAATTCAAATGGCTGGTTTGGGTTTTTTTAAATCACTAATAAACTTAAAGTGAACAAAATAGTCATTGTGACTTGAGCCGAAGCAATTTCAGCAGAGTTGTGAGAGCCAAAGCAAGAGTGCAGGGAATTGAGAAATGAATGGGAAATGGGAAGGGAGGACAGTGGTTTTTCCAGAATTTTGTTGTTAAAGGCAAGGGAGCAATTGGATGGCTGGAAAGGAACTTGGAGGTGGAGGAACTTGGGGGTTGACTTGGTTAGGGTTGATTGGTTACTTTGTTTTTAAGTTTGAGAGGAACACAATCATATTTATAACCTGAAGTGACTGACCCAAGGAGAGAAAAGTGAGT